CAATATGTGTCTGGAACAGAGTCATTCCCAGATGAAATGTCCCTATCCTGCCAACTGCTTCTTGGCCTGGAGCAGCTGTAGGAGCAGCTGGTTTTACCAAAGCCGTAGAATGAGTCCTTGTTCTGAGGTACAAGAAGCCTACATTTTGTGAAAACTTGTAAGTTTGGCTCTTAATAAAATTAGCTTTATGAGTCTTTTTTTTTGCTTTGTTTCTTGGGACATATCTAATGGTTCTTGGAGTCATTTGCAGGGGTGCTGAGTTTAGAATGCAAATCCAGCCCCATTCACAGGGCATGTGAATCCTAGGCGCCTGCATAAAAAGCATATGTTCAGGGTCTTTTAGAGTCTTGCTGGTACACCTTTGTGAGTCTTAATTTGGAGATTTATTTTGTTGTCTATGGGGCACACAGTTAGTGCTCAGGGGTTAGTGCTGGCTCTGCACTCAAGAATCATTCCTGGTGGACTCAGGAGACCATAAGGTATGCTGGGACTAGAACCTGGTTGGACAGGTGCAATGAAAATGCCCTACCTGCTGTACTATCTCTCTGGCCCTTAACCTGGAGATTTGGTGTACTGTGCTTACTATTCACATGTCTTGCATAACTAAACAGTTTATTCAGGGGAATTCTTCCTGTAACTATGAAAAGTCATCAACCTAATATTTAATTAATTGTTTCAATAAGAAACTGAAGTCATAATATGGAAGATTATTCCTGAATTCTAGGAACAATCAACAAATTCTAGGAATGGTATATGGAATGCAAGAATTTATTCCTGCTTCCTCCTAATGTTCCAGTAAAAGAATTTCTTTTAAGTCCTGAGAGGAGACAAAAAGATACCTGTCTCACATTCAGTCAATGTGTGTTCCATCCCTGGAACTACTTATGGTCCCCAATCACTGCACGCAAAGCCACAATAAGCCCTTGGCAGAGCTGGGTATCATGCTCTTCCCCAAGAAAACAACCAAACCAAATTTCAGAATTTGAAAATATAAAGCTGAATCTTACACTGGCAATGAAGAAAGTCACATTAGAGGTTAGGCATATGAGGCCTCCTGGATCTGAACTCCGAATAAAGTTATTTTACAGGATCCCTGAAAGGTTCTAATTGAATGAGCAAAGATAAAGAGGATCTGTCAAACTTCAAGAAATAGCTACATACACCAGACCAGACTCCTTTTCTATAATATTGAGTGCATGCTCCTCTATGACCCTGGGAAAGTCTAAAGACACTTTTGCTGGAAAGAATAAAATATACATCTCTGTGAAAGGGATTCTAAAGACAATTTGTATGGAAGAGGGGTACAATAATGAAATCTGGGGATTGGGTCAACAAAGGCATACTGAAATATTTACCTCTCTTTTTCTACCTGGTTTCCAAATATATAATAGTCTGATCTAGTCACTGTAGACAGGGAGGCTAAAAAGTTTTCTGCATTATTTGACTACCCAATGATGAGAGCTCTAGAAAAAATATGATCACACCAGCAGGGAAACCATTCAGTGTCATGTCTCCAAGAGAATAAGATACTGCCAAATCTTCCCATGCAGACTTGTCAGAGCTTAGAACACGGGGGCCTTCTCAGAATGAGTGTGGGAAGATTTCCTTTCTTGCTGGAAGGTACAGCAATGGGCAGTCATACTCAACACCCTCCAGCTTAGAAATGGCCCAGTTACACAACTGAACCTCATCAAACTGTCAAGCCACCAAATTGTCCTAGATCTATAGCTCCTGGACTGTGCAGCCACATACCTGGCCATGCAACACCTCAGACTTTCATAATACTATCAGTTCAGTAGGATCACAGCATGTTTGATGGAAAGCTTCATAGAAGCCCACCAAGGTCAATGAGCCTAAACAATAACACAGAAAATATACACTAAACTGCACAGCAGATCCTCAGAAAATAACTTTTAGTAACATAACTGTGAGATATAAAAATGATCACAAATTGACTACTATCTATCTAAGGTTTGACAATTCCATTTGCCTTTGTGTTAAAACAAACAATATGAAATAAATTTGTTTGTGTCTGAAGGGGGCAGGCTGTGGTGGTGGGTGGGAAACTGAAGAGATTAGTGGAGGGAAGGTCACACTGGTGGTCAGATTGGTGTTGAAACATTTAATGCCGGAAACAACTGTCCTATGAATACTTGGTAAATCATGGTGATACAACAATTTATTTTGAAAAAAAAAAGAAAGAAAAGAAAATAATACTAGCAGTTCCTCAAGTAACAGGCTATTACAGTACCTCAAGGGAAGCTACTGCCTATAGAGTACTTTCTTATAGTCTATATAAGATAAAAATAAAGTATAATTGTACCATCTTATTTCCACTTCTCACCCCTGTCTTAAATTGAGAAGACAAAGAAAGACAATTTGACAACTAAGAAAAGATCTAACATGATAAGCACTCTAAAAATAAAACAAAAAAAATGATTAGCACCATAGGGATACTTGCAAAATAATTCAGGATGTGGGAAACTCTTTGAGATATATTGGTCCTGTTTTTGAACAAGTAAACTGCATGAAAAAGGAAGGAGGGATGATGGAGGTTAAGAGAGTGAGAGAGAGAGAGAGAGAGAGAGAGAGAGAGAGAGAGAGAGAGAGAGAGAGAGAGAGAGAGAGAAGGGTGGAGTCTATAAGAGAAACTTAAAACATACCTAACTGGAATATAGGGACCTTATTTGAGCACTGATTTCATTAATTCAATTAATGCAATTACTTTTGTGGGGTTAGGGGACACACCCAAACGCTCTCCCTCTTTCCATCTCCCACTTTCCCCTAGCCCAAGTCCACTGATGGTAAGACACAAAGACACAAGAAAAAGATTGCTGTCCAAAGATCTGGAAGCAGGTCCTCATTCAATAATTCAATGACAAATCAGCACGACGATCTATATTTCCCCAACTCCAGTCTGCAAATAGTAGATTTTTGATTTTTGTTGTTTAAATCAATCATTCTATAATTCTGTCATAGTCCAAACTGATTAATAGGATCTTTTATGAGTATAGAGCGTCTAAATTTATTTTTATAATTATACAGACTATTTTGCTTCATTCTAATTTCTTTTATGTGTGTGGGTGGGCAGAAAGGTTCACACTCAGCAATGCTCAGGACTTACTCCTGCCTCTATGGTCAGGCATCACTCTTGGTGGTCTGAACAGACTATATATGGTGCCTGGGACTGAACCTAGATTGCTGGCATGCAAGGTGACCGTCCTACCTGCGGTACTATCTCTTTGGCATCCCCCTCCACCCATCCGCACTTTTCAGAATTTCTTTTTTAGGTTCTTTTCTAGTGGCTTCGGCTGGCATATTTGGCATATATGCAGCTCAGATAGAGAAGGGAGTACCAAATAAAGGATGTTGGGAGGTTCCTCCCAGGATGGGAGATGCGTGATGAGAGTAGACTATAGACTGAACATGATTGCCACTCAATGTCTTTATTGCAAAGCACAGGACTCAAAAGGAGAGGGATAACAAAAGGGAATGCCCTGCCACAGAGGTAGGGTGGGATGGGGGGATGGGGGGGAGGGATACTGGGATCAGTAATGGTGGAGATATGGGCACTGGTGGAGGGATGGGTACTTGATCATTGTATAACTGAAACCCAAGCACAAAAATTTGTAAGTCTACAACTGTACCTCATGGTGTTTCACTAATAAAAATTTTTAAAAAAAGCAAAAAATAATCAGCCAATACTGTTCAAAGTATCATTTACATTTTACTTACATATTAAATAAACCCTCTAGGTTTATTATCAATTTGGAAAAAAACTATCTTTATCTCATCAGCTGAAGCACTACTGACATGCCTCGGAGTCTTAAGAGGAGATTCAGAGAGGGTAAGAACTTTCAGGATAATTTCTATGTTCTGTCTTAAATTTTTTTCAACTGAAAATATGCACTCTGTATCTATGTACATTGTGTACACAAAGTTCCATTCAACAGTAAGTAAACTATTTAAAAAGAAAAATCTTTACTTTTAATTTTTTTTTAGTTTTTGGGCCACAGACAGTGCTCAGGGTTCATTCCTAGTACTGTACTCAGGGATCACTCCTGGCTATGCTCAGGAAACCACACAAGTGCTCAGGATTGAATTAATATTGTCTGTGTGCAAATCAAGCACCCCATCCTCTGTGCTATCTCTCTGGACATAAAAGAAATTTTTTTATGAGGCAAGAGATGGTACAGGGGTTAAGGCACATGTTTTGCATGCATTTGATGCTAGTTCTATCCCCGACATCACATGGTTTCCCAAGTACCACTGGTGGCAGCCTGCAGGACTCTGAGTGTGCCAAATCTGGCATGCTAGGTGCCCAGCACCACTGGCGTGACCCAAGTGACTGTGTGCACAGCAAGACTTGAGCAGCACAACAGCCTCAAGCTTTTTCATTAGTATTAAACTGTTGGCCTGGCTGACAGAGAATTGCCCAGAGAGTTCTGACCTCCTAAGCAACAAAAGTAAGAAAGAAAAGAATGCTTTTCATTGAATTTCAGAGAAAAAGCACATGCAAATTTCTCATTTTCAAAACACTGAATGTTTCTATGCTTTTAAATATGTATTATAAACAAACTTGCAACTATCTTTGGATATAGCATATAGGCTCTAAAGCAATTCATGTTGTGCTGGTAACTGGCTGGATTAAATAACAAATATTTTGATCACTGAGATTTAAAGCTATGTATAAAGAGTCCAAAATTTAAAAAAATAATGCTATATACATGTTTTTATCCCTTTACAAATTCTTAGTTTAGTATTTGTGATTAATAAAAAGATTTTCTTCTTCCTTTTTCTTGCAAACAGGTAATCTTGAAAAATCATTAAATAATATTAAAGTATATACTGATAACCAAATTAGAAAAAAATGAAGAGAAATATAAAGCTATTTAGAAATATTTCCAGTGTCATATGTAAAAAGAAAAACACAGTTTTATAATTAAAAATTTAGAAACATATGATTTTTAAATGAAAAGTACTACAATGTCAACACTCACAGAAAAAGTAGGATTCCAGTGTTAGCGAGGGCAAATGCCAGACCTAGAATTCCACTGCCCATAATGGCGTTGCTTAGGTTGAAGACAGACATGCCTAAGGAGGTCGTTCCTGGAATCTGAACAAAGACACAAACATTCACACTAGGCAAAATGTTAGCACAACAAAATTGATCATACAAAAGATTTTAAAGCACTGTTAAGAATCAACATAGAAATAAAATTCAAGAAATCTTTCCTTAGAAGTCTAGTTGGGTTTTTTAAATAGATTTTATGAGAAAAATACATGAGCTATGAGAAATAGTCTAGTGACTATATTTAGCTATGCTCTTGGTACTATGCTACACATGTTAGAAATATCTCAATACATGTGATTAAAAAATAAACATACTTTATAGCACAGCGGTAGGGCATTTGCCTTGCGCAGCCAGCCTGACCGAGCCAGGTTCGATTCCTCCGCCCCTCTCGAACAGCCTGGCAAGCTACCGAGAGTATTCAATATGCCAAACACAGTAACAAGAAGTCTCATAATGGAGACGTTACTGGGCCTGCTCGAGCAAATTGATGAACAACGGGAGGACAGTGCCATTTTACAGTGCCATTGTAATGATACTTACATATTCATCACATTTCTTTTTCTCCAGGTGACTGTTGGTGAGACTCCTTCTACTTTCACGATCAGAAATAAATTTGCTGCAAAGACACATGTAACACATTTAAATTCGTAACAATGATTTAAAGATTAACAGTATGACTGATTTATTACTTATCAAAATCAAACACAGATGGAAAGTTTTCAACTGTTACCTAAGGTCCTCATCAATGTCTGCTACTTTTTTCATTTTTGCAGTATTAGTAGTCTATATTCTTGTTTTACCATAAAAGTTGTAAGTGCTCCAAGGCAAGTACACTGCCTTATTAATAGTTCTATTTTGACTGTTCTTGAGCTACAATTAATATTTTATTAGTTTCTGCTGTATAGTATAAACATAGAGTAAATATTTGATATCTGTACAAGATAACTATATACTGTAAGGTAAATCTAAATTTATCACCACGATAAATATAGATTAAACATTCACTACTCCACATGTTAAAAGCTTGTTTTCTCAGCACAGGAACAAACACAATGAAGAAGATGCACAAAAGCCCATAAAACTTACCAAGTGAAAACAATAATAGGCTCTACCAGTACCAATCAGCTCTGTAAACTTTGAGAGAATGACTTTAAGGACACTATATTGAAGATCTTTAATGAGCTCAAAGAAACAATGACATAAGAAGTTAGTAAAGAACAAGACAGTGTGAGAGTAGAACTAAAAAAAACACACACACACAATAATCAGAAGTGACATAAATGAAGAGTATAGTAAGTGATGTTTAAAAAAGCAATAAACGATCTGAGCAGAATAACAGTAGCTAGGAGGGGGAAAAAAATCAATGAGCTTCAGGATGAGATGGAGGAAACCTCTAGAAAACAGAAGAATATGAGGAAACATCTGAAAAGAAATAAACAGCACACCAGAAAATTATGGGATGATGTCAAAAGGAACAGTATCAGAATCACTGTAGTCCCTGAAAAACAGGAAGGCAAGTTCAATGAAGAACCATAATTTAAAAAAAATCATAACTAATCATGTTTCAGAATTGAGGAGTACAGGCAGAGAGCTCCAAAAGGCCTGAAGAATCACAGCAAACATAGATCTAAATAAAAGAAAAACTCCACGACACTAATTATAAGGCATTTCACGACATTTTGACAAAAGCCAAAAATAGTGACTGACTATTAAAAGAAGCAAGATTCAAAAATGAACTTACATACAAAAGAAAATTCAAAATATTCATAGAGGTCTATCAAATGAGATTTTACTAGCCATAAGATAATCGAGGGCTATAGTACAAAAATTCAATGAAATGAACACCTCACTAAGAATGCTCTATTCAGCTAGATTATCATTCAGATTTGAATGGAGGACATGGAGTTTCAGGAGCAGGCAACAACATAGGGAACTCAGAGCCTTGAAACCAGTTTTACAAGAAGCATAAAGGAAATGCTTCTTTGTCTTATATTTCCCCCATGTAATCTGCAGCAATATGCATGAGACTAAAGGCTGTCATGCTGAGTGAAGTCAGAGAGAATGAGACAGATGCAGAACAGTCTCGCTCATGTAAAAATATACAGTGAAGTAAAAGAGCTTCTTTAAGTGACAAATTTTTCAGCATGTGGTATTGAGTATGGTGCGTATGGTAGCACTCTATTAGATTAAGGAAGGTATGTTTCCTCCTAGCTTGCTAAGGGATTTTTATATTTTTTTCACTTATGACTTAACGGTTTATTTATATTTAATGTTCTTTATCTTATCAGAGGACTGTAGCACTGTAGCACTGTCCTCCTGTTGGTCATTGATTTGCTTGAGCGGGCCCAGTAATGTCTCCATCGTGAGACTTGTTGTTACTGTGTTTTGGCATATCAAATACATCACGGGTAGCTTGCCAGGCTTTTCCGTGTGGGTGAGATACTCTCAGTAGCTTGCCGGGCTCTCCAAGAGGGGTGGAGGAATCAAATTCGGGTCGGCTGTGTGGGCCTTATGCAAGGCAAACACCCTACCTGCTGTGCTATCACTCCATCATAGGACATTAGACTTTTATTGCAATCTCTTGTCTGCATCAGCAGACACTTAAACATTTTACTATCTACTATCACTGTATCACTGTCCTCCCATTGGTCATCGATTTGCTCAAGCGGGCCCAGTAACGAATCCATTGTGAGACTACTTGTTACTGTGTTTGGCATATTGAATACGTCACAGGTAGCTTGTCAGGCTTTGCCATGCAGGCGAGATACTCTCGTTAGCTTGTTGGGCTCTCTGAGAGGGGCGGAAGAATTGAACCCGGGTCGGTTGGGTCAGCCGCATGCAAGGGAAATGCCCTACTGCTGTGCTATCACTCCAGCCCTCAGAGCAAATGTTTTCATGTGTATGATGCTGATCTTGGGATTTTTATGCCACACCAACTACACAATCACATTCTTCATGTCTCCTGTAAGTGGATAATGACAAATTCCAAATCACCACCTTAGGTACTGAATTTAGTGATTATTAGGACTATTTATAATAATATTCAAAAATTTCGGAGCTGGAGTGATAGCACAGCGGGTAGGGCATTTGCCTTGCATGCAGCCGACCCAGGTTTGATTCCCAGGATTCCATATGAGTAACTATATATATTTTTTTTTATTTTTGCTTTTTGGGTCACACTCAGCAATGCTCAGGGGTTATTCCTGGCTCTGCACTGAGGAGTTACTCCTGGTGCTTGAGGGGCCATATGGGGTGCCAGGGATTGAAACTGGGTCGCCCGCGTGCAAGGCAAAAGCCCTACATGCTGTACTATTGCTCTGGCGTTACAATTATGTTCTCTAATATAAAACCATTAATCCCTTTCTTATGATAAAACACTTTGTACTTCTATAGACCTTTTTTCAAATATTGCCCCTTAAATTTTCTTAATTCTCTTCACTCTTACTAAATTTTACAGTTGTACGCTTTACCTATTTCATGTAAACTCCAAAACATATTAGCAAAGAATTAAAAACAATAGTTTTATTATGACATTGGTAAAGGTAAAATCAATTGAATGATATGTGATTATTACCACAGTGAGACCCAAGTACAAAATAAAAGTTAATGTCATATATTTTAGATACCAGAGTTGAAAACATTTATGTAAATGAGAATAGGCATTATATTATATTGTTTTAAATGATTTTAATTTCTTTATTTATATAGGTTAAAAATCATATAGCAATCATCACAAATTGATTTATTGATTCATTTTCTGATAATTCTATTTGCCATCCCTTTAAGTTTTCTTGGAGAAATCCATACAAAATAAATTTTTAGTATTTTATTTTATTAGGAGCGATAGCACAGCGGGTAGGGTGTTTGCCTTGCATGTGGTCAACCCGAGTTCGATTCTTCCGCCCCTCTCGGAGAGCCGGCAAGCTACTGACAGTATCTCACCCGCACGGAAAAGCCTGGCAAGCTACCCGTGACGTATTCTATATGCCAAACACAGTAACAACAAGTCTCATAATGTTACTGGGCCCACTCGAGCAAATCGTTGAACAACGGGAGGACAGTGAGAGTGACAGTGACATCTTTTTCCATCTTTCGCCCCTTGCTTTGACAATCACTCATCTATTTTTTGTATTAATGGATTTGGCTTTTGAATTTAGATTCCACATCTGAGATCTGCCCATCAAGGTTCACCCATGTTGTCACAAATAGCAAGATTTCACTCTTTTGTTATGGACAACTGATTTAACAGTAATGATTTAAATTACTATATAAAGGACTAAGGGTGCATTTCAGTGAAACATGTATGTACTCCACGTGTATGAGGCTCTGGGTCAAATCCCAGAGTGAAAAAACACACCTCATAATAGCATATACATTTTAAGCTAACTTACATGTATTTTTCTCTAACATTTTGGATAATCAGATAATGTCAAGAATACTATACAGTTAACATTTAAAAGACTTAAAAGTCCAGCTCTTTCTTAACTTACACTACAAAAAGTTAATTGTTATTTTTTCTCCCCTACAGAAGAGAAATCAACTCTTTTATCAAATATTACTTCAGCACCTACTATATTGAAGTCACTATCCCAGGTGATGAGGGAGACATAGGGATATGCAACAAGTTGTGCAGATACTATACTATAGAAATTCAGGCTAGAGAATGATGGTGGAGGGGCTCCAGCGATAGTACTGAGGGTGGGGTGTTTGCCTGGTGTGTGGCTCGGCCTGTCACCTCAAATGGTCCTCTGAGCCCACCAGGAGTGATTCCTGAGTGCAGGGCCAGGAATAAATCCTGTGCAGAATTGGGTGTGGCCCCAAAACAAACAAACAAAATAATGGTAGGAGGAGGTAGAAAATAATCCATTTGAGAGGGTCCAAGTGAGGGCTTTTAGAAAGCATGAAATTAAGATCCTGAGTTTACATTCTCAATGATTCTGAATTCCTGAGCATGAAACCTCAGTTTTCTCATTTGTGAAATAGGAATTATACCATTACAATATCTCATAGTACTTTTGGGAGAATTGAATGCAAACTCAGTCTGGAGTCTGGAACAGCTTTAGGAGCAATAGATGATAATCATTCCTCATTATGGGGGAAATGGATTTTGAATTGGAAAGGAAAGAATTAAAACAGGCTAAGCAAACGATACACAAATATACAGAAGTAGTAACTGATAATGATCTAAGAACTATCAGATCTAAGCAGGATTACTATTAGAACTTTATATCCTAAATTTATAATTTGAAAATATTCCCATTATTAAGGACAAGTGCCACTGGCAAAAAAAAAAAGGTTCAGTTACTATTTCTTAAATTAGTAAGACCTATTAAGGAATGTTTTTAGTGTGAGCCTGGAAATTTCATTAACTGGTAGTAAATTCTCCATTGATAAAGGTAAAATCAATTGAACTGCACTATTTTAAGCTATATATCATATTTCCATATGCTTTTTTGAATGATACTATATTCCACAGTAAAATCGTTCATTTGTTCGGTGCAAAGCCTGGAAGCGGAGCTTAGAAGCCTTGTGGAGCAAATCCAGGATACCTGCGTGCAAAGCATGTACTCAGTCTTCTGAGTTCTCTCTAGCCCAGTAAGATTTTCCTGGGTTGTTTTTGAGCTACACCTGGCTGTGCCCAGGGATCACTCCTTGCAACACTTGGGAACTGTATGTAGTGCTAGGATTCGCTAGGATTCAAACGAGTCTGCTTCATGTAAATTTAGCTATCTTTTCTTCTCCAAGTTGTGTTACTTTACCAGGATAAATCAAAGGAAGGTCTCATGTATACTATAAGCTCCTTCCGAGTCCACCCCTATTACAAACAGCAGAGTCCACAGGTATATTCCCTTCAGCAAACTCCTTTGTTAAGGACTTGTCCCGTCACCGTGGGGATTAAAACCCTTGGGCTCCTGTGAAGAACAGCAACTGATGTTCCAGCTGAGGAGTGACCACACCCACCAGGAGCCAAATAGGAACATTTGGCAAAATTAAGAAAAGACAAGGAAACCTAATACAATAAACAACCCCCCAAACAAGAAACATTCCTGTGGAATAAGCCAGAGGAAGCTTAAGGGGTCTGAGAAACATGACTGCGGTGCTTATGAAAAGAATGACATAATGTAAGCAGTAATTTTGGCAATCAACATGGGAGTTGTGAAGCATTGCTATGATTGATTTGGTCCTTCTTTTGCCCTTAATACTTAAATCCCCAGAAATGAGGTTTACATTCCTGGAGAGGGGGCAATGAAAAGGTACTTTCCTTTTCATACAATCTGATCAAGGAATTATGGGCGCTGGGTTTTCCAAAATGTAACTGACTCCTACCTAGTACTTCTGTTAATTAAAAAGGCAATACCCAATCAGATTAATTTTAATAGTTTATTATCTATCCAAGTCTTCTCAGTTCTTATCTAGTAGGTGTCCTTGTTGCTATTCTTCAGAAAGAATAAAACAATTATTTTCCAAGAAGAATTTATACTATTTTTCAAATGAAAGGAAAAGCGTAACCAACCATGCATCAGTTCAAAAACAAACTGCCTTTTATGGCAAACCTAGGTTACAGGTCTGGCAACATTCCCAAGAGCTAGTGGCAGAGGACTGGTGGGCAGAATAGAAAGGAATGCAAGTCCTGTGTCACGAGGTGCATTAAGTAGGGTCCACATCCTAGGACTGGGTGAGAAGAGTCTGTGCCTGCATCACTGGCAGCTCACCTGAAGCTCTTCTGCAGGGTGAAAATAATGATATCCCAACTTGTGGAGCTATTTTAACAAATAACCATTAAAAAACACATCAGAACATTTTGTGTATCTGGTGGCTCATTTACTCTACCTCTTGCAGTCTAATTTCTTTCTTTTCTTTCTTTTTTAAATTTTTTTTTGGTTTCGGAGCCATATCTAGTGATGCTCAGGGGTAACTCCTGGCTCTGCACTCAGGTATGTAGCTGAAGCATTCCTGCTGATGGAACTTGTTTTATTGGGTTTTTTTTTTTTTGGCTTTACATTGTATTTAGAGGCATTTCTCTAGGGGAGAGGGGACTTGGCCATTCCTGGCTCTGTGCTCAGGGGTCACTCCTAGTAGTGCTCTGAGGCCACATGCGGTGCCAGGGCTCAAACTAGAGTTGGCCACTGCAAAGTAATTGTCTTACCCCTTGAACACTGTCTCTAGACTATAATATGTTTTTAATTTTAATTGACCTAGAACCAAAAATGAAGCAAAATGCACACCTAGGGAACTACAGTGACATTTCAGGGCACTTGAGAAAAAAGGAGATTTGACAAGCTTCTGAGAGCCAAAACTGAACCTGTGAAAAAGATTCAGAATCAGAATGGCTCGTGACTGCTCCAGAAGACATTGAAAAAATTGTGCAAGAAAAATAATTTCCGTTGTATCTTTATAACCCCACAAGTGAAATTAAGTGGGAAAGGGAACAGGGTATTTTCAGATGTGGAAAAATCCAGAAATTTGCCTAAAATGCAACTTTTCTCTGGAAGATAGTAGAGGATGTGCTCCATCAAAGCAAGAGAGAGAATCTGGAAGGAAGGAAAGAGCAGATCAAGAAACGGGTGTGCTAAGGTGGGAGCAAGGCATCTGAGAACTTGTAGCCAGAACGACAACAGACGTGGAGACATGGGTGCCTGAAAAGGCAACTATCACCAGGATAAGATGCCCACTGCCTTCCAGCCACTTCACCTGAGGAAGAAATGATGCTGACCCAGGCTGGCCTGGGCTCAGCTGCTCTGTTCAACTTGGCTGGTCAGGAGAGTGCTGAGGAGATCCCTGCCCTCTGCTGCAGGAGAACACCCTCTTTTCCCCCAGTGGTCAGCAGTCCTCCCTGAGTCTGCTGAAATTCATCCACATACACACTGGGGGCCGGCCTTAAGGAGCCCTGAGTTCTCAGGGTTCACTGGTATCTTGACCTACTGACTTTTCCAACAGGTCGTTCAGAAACTCAGGCTGAAAACAAACTATGTTCAGCTTCAAGTATGGATGCACACTACCCTTCCTTCACATTGTAGGCTCAGAACCTGAACCTGCTGCTCTCTTCAAGAATGGAACAATCTTTTAGATCTCTTAGGCAGGAAAAGATATATCCCTACCTAAGTGTGATGAGTGGGATCTGGGACCTCTCAGGGACTAGGTAATGGTCTGGACTTTGTGTGCTATTGCAGTTAGCGCTACTGCACTTCACTGTCATCCTTGAAACTGTACAGATATTTTATGCCCTCGTATATAGGACATTAAAATTTTTTTTGAACATTCAGCTTAACTAGAAACTCTGTTAGAGAGCTTACAGAGCCTATCAACTTGGCAGTTTGTGCTTGCTTTATTCAGAAGGGACCTGACCATTTCTTCATTAACTGAATAATCCCATTTTTACTCTGCATCTGCCATGTCTAATGTTTCTAAGTCCAGGATCTCTCTGGTATAGCTTCTTCAGAGAAGAAATGCCTTCCTTGATTTCTGCTGGAGTCAGGCCATGGCTTCGTAGGTTCTATTATGGGCTTACTGCCAACCCTATATACCACTCTCCCCAGTCCAGGAGGATATTGACAAATACAATTTTCATTATTTCTTGATTAAAATGTGAATAAGATTAGATAACTGTCTATAACATTCATATTTAGATATGTGATGTGGTCAAATTCCAATAGTCTAATTCATAAGCACAGAGAATTGACTGGTTTGGAGTCAACGTATTTATACACTTTATTAGATTCAATTGAAAGATTTGAAAGGATGAATAAATTACTTTCCTATTTTCTTCATTTGCTATTGCAGACTATGCCCAACAGATGTCACATATGAAATTCAAATTACGTCTTCAAATAGAACATAACTTTAGTAATAAATAATTCAAAAGAATAACTGAAAACCAGAATAATATTTTAGGAACATTTATTTCATTTGATAGCAAGTGTTAGCGGAAAAATACTCACCTATTTATCTGGCCATTTTCTACCTCGGTGAACTCATTGGAGTCATTGCTAACATTATCATCTTCAGGCACTGTCATGTTTTGCAACTCAGTTAATTCGAGTCCACTTTTGAAATGCATCATGGTTAGAAATGATCTGCAGTCAAAAACTGTACCAAACTCTCCTGTACTGAGTATATTTACAAGTGGATAGTAACAAGAATATTAGCTTGATTCCCCTAAAATACAACAGAACAAGAAATAAATATATGAATTACACTACTGATTAAAAATAACTAATTATAAGTAAATAGTTAATTTACATTTATGTAACATTTTTGTTCGGCTGCTTTATTTATTAAAGTAATATCTGCCCATTAAACTATTTGGCTATACTTAAATTTTATAACTTTTCTAAACTTTCCAACATTTTAAGCTATAAAATGATTCATTGCTCATAGTCTTTATGTTCACACAGGACTACCATGTCAGCTGCAGGAAACTAGGCCCATTTTATGAATAAAACAGTGTGGTCAAAATTAAAGTGATTCGGTTCTTTTAATGTGAAGGATCATAAGACATACATTTAATGGACGCAGACTACATGGATATAAAGCACTTCACATTTAGCAATCTCCATGTAATAAAACGCAAATCCTCAATGGCATTATAAGGTCAAGCAGCAAAGGACAAAGCTATTTTGAAATATAGCAAATATTTTATCCATCAATTGCAAGAGATTTACCCACCAATCTCTTCAGTGAAATTGCTGTATATCTGGGAATTAGGGAATTAAAAACTCATACTCAAAGGATTTACATTAAGCTGCCTGAAACTACATTTCCTCATCAGAAACAAAAGACTTGCAGAGTTCACATTTTCTACCACTTGAATGACTGTGATTTACATTACTGAGGCACAACCAATAAGGGAGGTGAAGAGTTTCAAACACAATATAACAAATTAAAAAGCACATGGCAAGAGAAGTAACTTCCAAAGCAAGGCCACTGTAAACAGGACCTCACCAGGATGTTTACCATGAGGTAACTGCAGCCAGGTAATGCAGCATCCTGCCAATGAGACTTTTTTGACCTGCTATGATAAACCTTCTTGGAGAGTTTGACATTCTGTGTGATCCTGCATTCCATACAATAATGGTGAGTTTCCAAAGATAAAGGGTGTGGTGGGCATGCATACGCGGGACTTGAGCATTGGAAGGCTGAGAATCACCTCTCCAGGATGGTCCACAGCGGGAGCGTTTGACTGGTGAAGAACCGGGGAACGGAGAAACAGGAACCCGGCCAGTTGGTAGTCTATTTCTCTCTCCTCCCCATGTAGTCGGATCTCTCCCTTTAAGGTGCACTCCTAGTTGTCATTTTGGTCAGTGTTCCAATCATCAGAGTTCTATCATCCTAGTCTTCTATAGACCTCAAAGACCTCTCCTATGATATATCTTTTTCCTTGTCTTGCCATAGTCTCATAGTCCTCCACTTCCAGTCATTGTCGTCATCTAGTTTTCCTTCTAGTCCCAAAGTCTCAGTTCTCCTCCTCGTCTTCAATGTCTTGTCATCAAGTTTCTAGTCCTCAGCGTCTAATCTTCAGTGTCTAGTCTTCAACATCTAGTCCTCAAGATCTTTAACAACTCTTTCAAAGTCTAGCCTTTATCATCTTCAACATCTCATCCTCAGCATCTAGTCCTTAACATCTAATCTCTGATGTCTCATCCCCCAACATCTAGTTCCTTCTTACCCGTCACAGCATAGTTATATAGATATCACGAAGGGTGGGGATGCAAAGGTGGGGTTGAATATTATCATAACAACAAAGAGATGTAAAGTCTCTCCTTCAGGAGATTAACTCAAGGACAAAATCTCATTTGAGGATTCAGCACTCCAGATTACTAGGATATCCGTTCCAGGGTGGGATTCCATCCAGGGTATACTGCTTTCTCCTTTCTCCATTTAAACAGTCATAGTAAATTTACTTCTTATAATATTTCTAGCAGTGTGATTTTGTATGAACACAGAAAGAGATATATTAATCTTAAAGGTTGGCTCTTCCTGGGAACATCTAACTATGTATTCCAGGTCATAGTCCTCAGGCCAGGTTAGTCTTTCCTAACCCCAACAGGGTTCTTATTCAGTTACTTCTTTTTGGGTAATGACAGTTTGTCCGTGACCGTGTTCTTAACTTATAGTTAAGTATTATGGTGCTTGGTGAGGCCCATTTTGATGCCAAGGTATCTCAAAGCTTGCCCTGGGTCCATCCAGTCCCTCACTGGAACCCTGCTTTTAGAGTGCTAGGAACTAAGTCCAACTGAGGGATAAGTCAAGTAAATATGGATACCTAGGAGTAAATATTATTTTGGAGTCAATTAACTTCCATGTTATAAAGCATAGCATCAACTGTCTTCCTGTATCTATACAAAAAGGGGATTGCTAAATAAACCATGCAAATGACTTAAAGGAAAGAGAAAAGCAATGTAGGATTATTAGTGACTGATGGAATTTGGTGTGCCTCAGTTGCACTGTTGTGAGAGTGGCTCAATAAGCCTTAAGATCCCTGGGGGAGGAGCAAGGACAACCCAATGTTATCCAACAAATAACTATTGTCTAATTGAGTCAAAATTCCAATGCACCTCTTGATTAGTCCTAATGATACCAAGAATTTTCTTGCTAACTGATAATATCAGGGGTTATAGAAATTACTGCATTATAACACTGTTTTTCTTCCAGAATTTTCTTCCTCCTCTTCCCAATAACTAGACCACACATTATTTCCTTTTCATAGAATCTCTGTGTGTGTGTGTGTGTGTGTGTGTGTGTGTGTGTAGTATTGAGGATGGGGTGGGTTGCTTTGTTGCAAGATTTATGTTATAAAGCCAATTGGGGGATGTCTCTAGTCAGAATAGTACTGCAAGAGATCCAGCCGTCTCTAATTGCTTCTAGTGTTTTCACAGAACAGCAATATATACAATTTGTCTTTATTCTGCAAAAACCAAAGTGAATTAAAATGCATGTACTTCATTCTGACACACTGATTCCATTTGATGGAAAGTACTAAGAAAGGCTAGACTGAGCAAGAGAAATCTTGCCACACAGGATATTTTATATGAATTCCTCTGAGAATACTGAAGTGACAGAATAGAGATTGGCAGGAAGTTGATTCAGTAGATGGCATTTTCCATCTGTATTTAAATCTGTATTTAAATAAAGATGTGAGGGGAGACTTTCACTCCACAAATCAACAGGAAATAGGGCTCTCGACAATAATTTCTGAAGAAAGTTAACAAATAAGAAAGTTGGAGCTCCCGTTTGACCCAGCAATACCACTCCTGGGAATATATCCCAGAGAGGCAAAAAAGTATAGTCGAAGTGACATCTGCACTTGTTTGTTCATTGCAGCACTCTTTACAATAGCCAGAATCTGGAAAAAACCTGAGTGGCCAAGAACAGATGACTGGTTAAAGAAACTTTAGTACATTTACACAATGGAGTACTATGTAGCTGTTAGAAAAGATGAAGTCATGAAATTTACATACAAGTGGTACTACATGGAAAGTATCATGTTAAGTGAAATGACCCAGAAAGAAAGGGATAGACACAGAAAGATTGCATTCATCTGGGGAACATAAAGCAACAAAATGTGAAACTAACACCCAGGAGTGGCCGAGATTAGTACCAGGAATTTTTCTCCTTGACTTGGAGGCCAGCCACACGTGCTAGGGGAAAAGGAAGCTCAGATAGAGAAGGGAGCACCAAATAAAGGGTGTTGGGAGGATCCTCCCGGGATGGGAGAAGCATGCTGAAAGTAGACTATAGACCAAACATGATTGCCACTCAATGCCTCTCTTGCAAACCACAGGACCCAAAGGGAGAGAGAGAGAACAAAAGGGAATGCCCTGCCACAGAGGCAGGGTGAGATGGGGGGGATTGGGGGTGGGAGGGATGCTGGGACCCGTGGTGGTAGAGGATGGGTGCTGGTGGAGGGATGGGTACTTGATCATTGTATAACTGAAACCCAAGCACAATAATTTGTAAGTCTATAACTGTACCACATGGTGTTTCACTAATAAAAAAAATAAATAAATAATCACCTTTACAGGTTTTCCCAGTCAGGCATATATATGCGGGCAGTATACTCTCAGTAGCCTGCCGGGTTCTCTGAGACTGAGAACTAGAGAATAAGAGGTCGTATATATATATGTGTGTGTGTGTGTGTGTGTGTGTGTGTGTGTGTGTGTGTGTGTGTGTATAATCACACAAGGCTCAACTTTTAACAACATGATAGTAATCTCATAGAAAAGCTTAGTAGCCCCTCAGTGAAATACAACAATCTTCACACACTTTCCTCAAAGGAAACTTTTTTTGGATCATTTTCAACAGTTTATTCATAACAAACAATACAAAATAAATTATTTTGGTTCTGCTTTGGGGCAGGGACTGGGGTTCAGGATGGAAACATATGAAATATGGTGGTGAGAAGGTGTAATGGTGGTGGGACTGGTGTTCAAATATTAAATGTAATCAATTATTGTGAAGTACTTTATAAAAGTTAAATTAGATTAAAAATATTTTAAAAATAAAAAAAGAAAGTTGGGTTCTTTTATGTTACTTAAACTTTCATAACAAAGATATGTGTATGTGTGTATGTATGTACACATAAATAACACATACAACCATAATAGCCATTTAAAGAAAAAAGGAATCAAAAGTAAAAAGGACAGAATAGAGGAAGTTTTTGAAAGAGGAAGTTAAAACATATCAGTACTGGAAAATACCAGTAATAAACTAAAGTAAAGTAAGTAAAGTAAGTAAACTAATACAGATTAATTCTTTTCTTTTGGTTCTATCAGAAATTACTTTTTTCTTTTTTCAGTTCTGGATTCTAGAATTCCAAAACCAAGATTCCAACAAGCTTTGTTTCTATCTGAGGCTTTTCTCTGACTTGTAAATAGCTGCTTTCTCACTGTTCTCACATGATGTTTCTGTCCTAAAATCTTCTTATATAGAATCAATTTTTATTATTATTAAACTACCTAAAATTTAACTTTTCTTGAAAATGAAGATTGAAAAATAGGGAAAATTAGAAGTTAGTGATATCTCAGGCTGGAGCGATAGCACAACGGGTAGGGCATTTGCCTTGCATGCAGCCAACCCAATCGATTCCTCTGCCCCTCTCGAAGAGCCCGGCAAGCTACCGAGAGTATCTCATCTGCCAGGGAGAGCTTGGTAAGGTCCCCGTGGCATATTCAATATGCCAAAAACAGTAACAACAAGTCTCACAATGGACACATTACTGGTGCCTGCTCGATGAACAATAGGATAGTGCTATAGTGTTATAGTAATATCTTAAATTAAAATGAAAACCACATTTAAAAGATATTATCCATTCCTTCAATCTTATCTTTAGTGTGAAGTGATAAGGGATTAAAACACCTCGAAAATCATGAAATTCAGAGACCAGAGGTAGTCTTGTAGAGAAGCATATTTTGATTGAATCTTGGAAAAGAAAAAAAGTTTTTGATTCTAACATATGCTCACTAAAATTTTTTAGAACAGACACTGAAAGAAATTCCTCCACCCAAATGGCCACTATGAGATTCAGATGTATTTCTATTCTCCTATCTTCCTTTCTTGTCCTCTCCCTTTTCATTGGTTGTTTTGGGGCCAAACCCAGCAGTGCTCAGGGTTACTCCTGGTTCTGCACTCAGGGGCCTATTTGGAGCGCCAGTGATTGGACTGCGTTGGCTGAATGCAAGACAAATGCCCTACCCATATTACTATTGCTCCAGCCCCACCTCTTCCCTTTTAACTCTTCATTTTAATCAATACTAAAATTTATATAATTTTAGACATTTTAACCTAGCTTTACATGTAGCACTACATTAAGTATTTTGAAAAGCAAATTAGCTCCTCATTAAAACATATAGGCTTTAAAAAAAAAACTAGAAAACACAGTTTTGCGATATAGGAGCCAACAAATAAAGAGAAAATTGTTACCTGTTATCTCAGCAAATGGAGATGATCAATATCGCTATATTGGAGTTTTACCTTCAAGGGTTTTTCTATGCACATAGGTATAGCGCCTGGCACACAGTAGGCACTAAATGTCTGTTAAGAAAAAAAGCATGAGTACAAATTAAAAACAGGTAATGTTTATTTTAGTTTTTTTTTTTTGAGATATGTCTGGAGGTGTTCAGATCTTACTCCTGGAGATAATCATGGGGCAGGGGACAATATATGGTGCCAGGGAGCAAACCAGCTTCAGCTTCTTGGAAGCAAGTACTTTATCAGCTGTACTATCTTTTTCAGCTACCAAAATATGTATAGATTTTTAAAAATAGAAACAGCTTTATAGAGTTTTCAACAAATATTTTCCATTTAACAACATATGGTCTTCTTTTTTTTTTTTTACTTTTTAAAGAATTTAACTCAAACAAAATATATTCTTTGATCATAACAGAAACTATAAATCAGTAACAAAAATTTGGTAAAAATTTAAAGACGTCAAAATTAAACATAGAAATTATATTTCTATTACATGGATAAGAGAAAATATGCTTTCCAAGAAGAATCAAAAAATATTTTAAATATATGAAACAGTTTTTAGAGAAAAATTCATAGTATCAAAAATTTCCCTTTTATGTAGGAATACTTATGAATGAATAAGTCTCCACACTTCAGAACCTAAAAAAGGGAAGAGTACAATAAGACCCATTTAAGAAGAAAAACAAAAAAAAAATTAGAACTAAAATGAAAACCTTGAAACAGAAAATAAAATATTTTTGATTTTTTTTTTTTTTTTTGCTTTTTGGATCACACCCAGTGATGCACAGGGGTTACTCCTGGCTCTGCACTCAGGAATTACCCCTGGCGGTGCTCAGGGGACCATATGGGATGCTGGTAATTGAACCCGGGTCTGCCACGTGCAAGGCAAAGGCCCTACCACTGTGCTATTACCCCAGCTCCAATATAAAATATTTTTGAAAAGTCAATAACATTAGCAAGTCTCTAATAATACTAAAATAGAAAAAAAAAATAAAACAAGTGATCAGTTATCAGAACTGAAACTGAAGCACTCACTATAAATATGGCCCTGAATATTAGAAGGATCATGAAGAACGTTATGAACATGAATTTAAAATCATGGCATTTCCTTAAAAACTATAAACCAGGGCTAAGGATATGATTCAGTGGTCAAATACATGCCCTGCCTATGTCAGGCCCTGGGTTCAGTTCCAGTTGTGCAGAAAAAAGAAAGAAAAGAGAAGAGAAACTATAAACTACCAAAAGTTATACAAAATAAAACAGACAACCTTAAGTATCCTAAAGCAATATTTCCAACAGAGAAAAAAAAAGCTGTTATAAAACATATATTTTATAATTGAAAAACAATGTATGAATTCAAAGTTTATGAAACTCAAAGAATGATGATCACATGGCAAGATTTAGTATCTTCAAAGTAAAAATTGTACCCATTCTTCTTTGCCAATTTCTTCTGTATTTTGTGCATCTTACTATTTCCGAGCAAGAGCTTCTTTTTCTTTTATACACGTTCCTTTAGTATTTCTTGGAAGGGCAGTTCAGTGATAATTTTTAATTTATAGTGATAGGTTTTTAATTTAACTGTTGTTTCTCTGAAAAACGAATTTCTGCATTTCTAAATTTAAGTGATTAACTAGTAGCTGGAGCGATAGCACAGCGGTAGGGCGTTTGCCTTGCACGCAGCCAACATGGCCGACCCGAGTTTGATTCCTCCGCCCCTCTCTGAGAGCCCGGCAAGCTACCGAGAGGATCTCGCCCGCAGGGCAGAGCCTGGCAAGCTTCCGGTGATGTATTCGATATGCCAAACACAGTAACAACAAAGTCTTCAATGGAGACGTTACTGGGCCCGCTCAAGCAAATCGATGAACAATGGGAGGACAGTGACAGTGACAACTAGTAATGTAGAATATTCGTGGTTACAGGTCTTTTCAATTCAGTACTTTGCATGCATCATTCCACACTTCCTTCTGGCCTGTCAAGGTTATGTGAAGAAATCTGCATAGAGGTTTATGAGGGTTACCTTATATATGAGTCTGCTTTTGTTTTATTTTATATTAAATTTTTGCCAATTATGATGAGTCTTGCTGTACATGTTGGGTTATTTTATTTGGAACTCTGAGGTTCTTGGTTCTAGGTATCTCTTCCTCAGTGAATAAATATTAGTTCTTGCGGGTCTGGAGAGATAGCACAACAAGTAGGGAGCCTGCCTTGCACGTGGTCAACCTGGTTAGATTCCCAGCATCCCATATGGCCCCTAAGAACCTCCAGGAGTAATTCCTGAGCGTAGTGCCAGGAGCAATCCCTGAGCATCACTGGTGTGCACCTCCACCCCTCATAAAAAAAAATTACTTCTTGAGCCAGAAAGATAGTACAGGGCTGGCCAGCCCTACTCCAATCTCTGGTACTGCATACGGTTCCCCAAGCACCACAAAGGATCACTGCTAAGCAGAGCCAGGCCCAGGAATGGCACCTGAACATCACTGGATATGACCAAAAAGTAAAATGTGTGTGTGTGTGTGTGTGTGTGTGTGTGTAAAAGTTCTCTCAGCTATTATTTCTTCTGATAAGATTTTTGCCACTGTCTTCCACCCTGCTCCATCTTGGACCCGATCCCTTGTAGTAGAGGATTCAAGCAGAAGTGGTGGTGCCCCACCTCCATGCTGGAGTCCATTTAGATAGAGGGAAAACATCCCTGGCTCCTCCTTGGGTCATATGGGACCAGCACTCCTGGGACTCTCCAGTTTCAGCAAAAGCTGCCCAAAACCTTTCACGGTGTGCTCCACTGCTGCACTTCCTCTAATTTAATGCTAATGGAGATTTCCAAAGTCTTAAACCCCAAACCATTTTGAAACTCCTCCAACACCTGGCCCTTTGGGGCCTTATACGAACAGGCACTCCTGCCCTCAAGCGTTCCAACCCAGGTCAAGCCACAGAAGCTGCCATATCAGACCCTGAACCCTCTTTACCAGGGCCATGGTTATGAACCATGCAATGGAACAAAGAAAAATCCAAGGAAATTAGATTATAGAAGTCCAGGGGTGCTTTAAGCTCATCAAAATTCTTGACACCACTATAAGACACCATTATAATCTCAGAACAGCAGTCTTCATGATGGTAGAAGAAATGAAGGAAACTCCAGTAGGGAGATAGAATGAACTCCATGAAAAATAGATGCAAAATGTTAAAGAATACATCGAAATGCAATAGAAAAGCAACCTAAAAGGGATTGGAGAGATAACGCAGAGGGTAGGGTGTTTGCCCTGATAAGGCCAACCCAGGTTTGATTCCCTGAAACCCATATGGTTCCCCAAGTACCATTTTGAGTAATTACTGAGTGCAGAGCCCCTAAGCACCACCAGGGGCTCAGAAACAAAGCAAAAAAGGCGGGTGGGGGGGGGGGGGGAGGAGGAAAGTCAATGGAGAAAAGTGTAAAATATGTAATGGATAACAGCAAAAAGAACAGTCTTCAAATCACAGGAATACCTGAGGGAGAGGAAAATGAGAAAGGGAAAGAAATACTAGTGTAAGAAATAATAGTCAAAAACTTCCCCAATCACTGGAGAGAGGTCTATACACAGATTCAAGAGGTCCTAAGAGTACCAAACAAACTATATATAATAGAACGACACCAAGACACATTTGATCAAAATAGTGAGAAACAATGATTAGCGATTATTTAAAGTGGTAAGAGAGAAGCAAAATCTAAAATACACAAGGGAAAGAAACCCACAATAGATCTCTCATGTGAAACCAATCAAAGCAATAAGACAATGGAGTGATATTAAAAACATGCAGGAGAAAAAAATCTTTAACCTAGGATCCTCTACCCTGTATAGCTGTCATTCTGATTTTAGTGAGGGATTAAAACATTTTCAGGCAAACAAGGGCTCAAGACATTTGCTATATCTAATCCAGCCCTGCAATGATTACTGAAAGATTTTATTAAAAAACAAACAAACAACAACAACAAAACAACTCTAAGGAGTAAAATAACCAAAATCACCACTGAAAATTGATGAAAAACTTTACCAATGATTTCCATAAATATCAATGGGCTAAACTCTCCCATCAAAAGGCAGAGAATGACCGGAGGGATTCAGAAACTGGATGGATTATTGGCTGCTTACAGGAAAAACACCTACAGGTTTTTGTCACAGGATAAATTCAGGCTCAGAATGAAAAGATAAAAACTGTTACACTGCCAATGGACGACCAGAAATAAAAAGAAATGAAAAGCTGGGACAGCCAAACTTATATAAGCAAAATAACATTCAATCTAAAAAAAGTTATCAGAGATAGGATGGACACTGTTGGTTAAGGAAACAATAGATCAAGATGTAGTAACTCATAAACACTTATATGCCATGTTAAGGAGCAGCAAAGTATACTAAACTCACAGATTTAAAGAAACACACTGACGGAAACACAGTAGCAGTAGAAGGCTTAGCTCCCCATTTTCACCATTAAATAGGCTGATCAGTAAAGATACAAGAGCACTAAATGAGGAATCAGAAGATTACAGGGCCCTACATCCTCAAAAAAACAAGAACATTTTTTTAGTGCACATGAAACATTCCCAGGATTGATCAGATATCAAGGCATAAACATATGCAAATTTACAAATTTAGAAATCATATCAAACATCCTCTCAGACCACAATGTAATGAAAAAAAGATGGGGAAAAAACTTCAATGCCTGGAAGCTGAACAAAATGTTGCTAAGTAACAACTGGATCAAAGTAGAAATAAAAGAAAAATTGGATACCTGGCATCCCACATGGTCACCCGAGTGTCACTAGAAGTAATTCCTGAGTGCAGAGCCAGTAGTAACACTTGAGTATCACCAGGTGTGACCCCAAAATAAAACAAAACAAAAACAAACTCCAAAAATATGGTACTGGAACGTCTCCATTGTGAGACTTTTTTGTTACTATGTTTGGCATATTGAATATGTCATGGGGAGCTTGCTAGGCTCTGCCATGCAGGTGAGATACTCTCGGTAGCTTGCCGGGCTCTCCGAGAGGGGCGGAGGAATCGAACTCGGGTCGGCCATGTTGGCTGTGT